AAGATCTCTTTTAAGTGGTACTTCTGCATTGTACTGTGCAATTAATAAATTACAATCTATTACCACAGAACAGCCTAGATGTCATATGGAACTGAGGTCCCCGTGCACATATGTCACGAATTATACAATCTTTGATCTTGCATGATCAAGTATGACTTGTGAATTATTTGTAAGATTCCTTATGATACTCAAGTGTATCTTTTATGTAACATCTCATGGATGTGTAAACCTGTACATTAATGACATTTAAAAGGCAAACCCTGTTTTAGTCATATATGCAGGTTTCAAGGATTTGTGCTGTGATAGTAGGGAATATAAGGCGGGGCTTCCATCCAGGTGGAAAATTTGCACAGCTGGTCATAAAGAAAGTTGGCTTCACAGAGGTAAAGACATTTCCTGCTGTCAAAGCTAAACCCTGATCCAGCAAGGTGCTCAATTACAGGTTTAACAATCTTGAGTAAACTCACTGGTCTCAAATTAGGTATATTCTCAGGAGTGTTGCTGGGCTGAAATGAAAGGTTAAGAGAATTTTAAAATTGTATTTCCTTTGTTTATACACTAACAAATAATAATTATAAAATCACACTATATTAATTTCAAAGCAGATTTCTTCCTACAAACATTCAACATAAAGCCTTGTATACCAGTACAATGGCAGTCAGGTATCTCAAAAAATTACTCAGAAGAAACAGAACATACAAGAGAAAAGTGCAAAAGAGACTGGGATTTGCAGGCCTTAAAAGAAAGCAAGGTAATAAATGAAATCGTCCTTACCAACTACTCATAACTGAGGCTACTCAGCAGCTATTTTTCCTGGAGCAGAACCAAACACTGCTCAGCACTGAAAACTAGTTTGAACCCAAGTTGCACCTTTCAAACACCATCTTTTCTTCTGTAGGTCATTTCAAAAATAGTGCGATGAGCCTGATTTACAGCACACATCTCCAGAACTTTTGCCAGTCTCAGCATCGTCAGATACTTTCAGATTAATTATTTTTACATCAACTATTTCATGCAGTAACTCAAAGCTTCCCTTGAGGTCACCGCTATTGGATCCATGTATATGGGGTGTATTTCTGTAAGAAATTGCTGTTGAAATTAGTTTCACTGCCAATCCCTCATCTTTCAGGAGCCTTTACTTAAACTTCAGTTCACTTCTGAGCTGAAGGTGAGAAATGCATATTTGAATGCAAATGGTGAGTTTTGCCAGTTCTATTAACCTGATCCAATCTTCGTGAGGAAATTGCTTTGTGATCTCATAGCAATAGATTAATTACTGCTGCTTTTGAGAGAAAATACTACGTGGAATTGCAAAACTTACATGTCAATCTACAAAATAGTTTGAAATAGCAGTATCAGTCCAGGGGTTTATATATATATATTTCTATCTGATTTTTTTTACAAAGTCAGGTTCTACCCAAGTGGGTCTTCTTTTCAGATATATTGAAAATCATCCTGAAACAATAAATCATTGTCTCCCAAAAGGTTTCAACTATATTCAGCAGTGTAGAACGAGGTAGTGGCTCAAGGCTGCTGAAAAGTATGCTGGTTCTTAAAAAACCCATCAAGTTTTAAATCATTGCTGTAAATTATTTTGGTTGCACTCACCTCCTATTTCAGACCACTCTACTCTCACTTTCCTGGTAAAGAGGCAATGCAGGAAGCTGCTCAAATTGATCTTTTACTTTGCAAACTATTATACCATACTTCAAAATCTCAGGAAGGTGATTTCAAAACTTTTCAGCTGTTCAGGAACCCAGACTAACCCACTGAAATCTACTGACCTCACATATGGAAAATAACCAAGGAGGAACTAGTGTGTATATCCTCTTTGAACTTCCTCTTACACATTTCAGGCATAAGAAAAAGGCTGAAAAGGAAAAGCATTCTTTCCTATAAACATTTAGCTTTACAATACCATTTGCTTTCCGTTCTCAAATTAAACCAGAGCTCACATTTTGTTATGGTCTTAAATTGTCTGCAGTAATAACACCTTCCCCCCTTCCAAAATACAGAAAGCAAGGCATAACCAAGATCATAATGTTTGGGGTTGTTTTAAACCACTTAGGAAGTCTGCAGAAACTACTCCCACAACTGCTTTGCATTGAGAGGAGAATAGGTTCATGAAAGGAACAAGAAATCTTTGTTTTGGGTTGTTTAAGATGCAGAACAAAGGAAACTCTGGCAACAAACAAGCCTTAACAGACCTTAGAAACAAGGAGAGTCAAAAAAAAAAAAAACAACAACAAAAAAAACCACCACAACCTTCTCTTACAGGATATGAAAGAAACAAATTTCACAGCATTCCTCAAGCTTCCTATGTTTTTTTTCCCAGGCCCTACCTGACACGTTCACAAAGCCACAGAGGACTCCATCCTAAAAGATGCGTGCATTCAAGCCCCTGCCCACTCCACCGTATCTCTTAGGAAGTGTTCAGAGAATTGCACACTCATTTCCAAAGCTCAGCTTCCTGGATATTTGTGTCCTGCTAACTCTCAGCAGACAGTTTTTCTTCCATAAGTGCACAGCTTTCTCCTCTTAAGTGCGATATCTTTGGCTGAATGCATCCTTTTCCAAACAGACTCTTTTTCCTGAAAGATCGAGCTTTCATTTGTTTTTGTTCCATTCACTTAGAGACCAGCTGAGTGTCCTGATATTTCTCTTCATCATATTTCCATTGTTTTGTAAAAGGCTTTTGCTGCTCTCTTGACTCTGGGGTTGATCCTACATGACTGAAATGTGTGGGAGTCTTTCTATTGAGATGCATGGAGGCAGAAAGAGATTCTCAAAACAAGACAACCTGGTCAAAGCCCAGTTTGGTCTCATTTCTGACCAAATAATGCATTTACTCTTCATATTATCTGATTTTGTTTACAGCATACATTCTGGTTTCTAGTAGAGATATAGTAGTCAAATGTAACACAACAGGAAAAATAGAACCTTATTATCTTTTTCTATCAGTTGAACGCACAATAGAGAATTTCGTATAAGTCTTCTTCACTTCCATCTCCAGAACAGTATTTCGAGCAAGTGAAGAAACCTGACATTCACATTTGAAGTGTGTTTGAACTGGCAGAAAGCTTTCATCCATAAATTCATCCACGGTAATGCAAAATTCATCACTACCTTACCTTTGCCTTCTCTGTCTTTCTATATGGATAAAAAATATGTTATGAATAGATGAAACTGAGGTGATAAATGTGCTGGAGCATGGAGAGAACCGTTTCCCTTATGACACTCCCACATGAGCCAGCACAAATGTATGTGCTCAGTTTCTCAGGGGACTGGAAGTATTAGCAGACCCAAGAAAAAGTTGGCATTCTTCTTGACCTCCTCACCTTCTCTGCAACAAAAAGTCTTCCTTTCAGCCTATGGTTCAAAAGGCAGATTAGTGTTTTTCGCCAAGATCTGGAGAGGAAGGCCCAAGACTCAAGTCCTAGTTTGCATCCAATCCTCACACAAGCCCCTTTTTCCATGCATAATGATACATAATTCAATATTTATTTATATGTCTCTTTTGCCAGGTCTGTGGCACTGATGGAGTCATGAGATGAATCCATCAGATAAAAAAGAAATCTTGCGTACTGCTCTCATGAGAGCTGTTGTCATGGTTCAGGAATGGTACTCCCCAGTTTAGGGTCCCCACTGAAACTCCAAACCACACTGCCACTCGCTCGCTCCCCCATCCCTCTCCCTGCTTTCTGTAGGGGGCTGGAGAGTAGAATTGGAGGCACAAAAGGTGAAGATCGTGGGTTGAGATAAGAACAATTTACTGGAAACAGCAATGAGATAAGAAAACAAAAAGTAACAGCAACAATGCTAATGACAGAGGGTACAAGAAATGAAAACATCACTACTCACTGCAGAAATCCCAGACAATAGAAAACAACCAAGTGCTCCCTTCAGCTCAGAACCCAAGCCAGACAGAACAGTTTCTTCTTGGAAGAGACTCCTTTTCTCCAGCCAGGGAATGATGTGAGGTGTTATAAATATCCTCTGGGTCCTGACCATTCCTCTCCTGGCCAGTACAAACATTAACCCTGTCCTGGTTAGAACAGCTTGATGGAAAGTGCAGGACAATGTCTTGAATTTACAAGACAATGAGTGAAGGGAATGCAAGAGGAATGACACCACAGCTGCCAGTTCTGTCTCCTGTACTATCAAAACGTCATGAGGAGTCTCCATGAAAAACCCAGGCTATGACAGAGCTGGTAATGATGGACTGATAACATATTTTGGTTCTTTGCACTTTGGATGAAATGAAGCCATAAAACATTTTGACACACAAGACATGACTCAGAAAGGCTGCATCAAGTAGTGGAATCAGCTTTCTCAGGTTGAAAAGACAGCATCTGAGAGTCTTTGTAGCTCTCAACCCAAGACAAAGAAAAAGCATGGACAAAACACATTACTCAGAAAGCCATATAGTTGTGCACATATGTGTATTTTTTCCACAACAGATATTGTTTGCTTGCAAATTTCAGCAACTGCATAGCATTTTAGGGTCATCCAATCATATTATCATGTATGAGACAGTAACTACACTTGGTAGTCTGGTTGTCATCTAGCTGGTGAGTTTGTACGGTCTCATATAATAATTTGCACTGGCTGCTGTAAGACACTTGTTAATAATCACAGAATCACAGAATCAACTAGGCTGGAAAAGACCTCTGACCCTAAAGGCCAACAAGACTCTAAAAACTACAGTCTGTGAACTAACTTCTCAAACTCAGATATCCTGCACTGCCCAGACCTGCAAACAGAAGCAAATGGCAAAGATCTGGGGCTCAGCTTTCCCCATGTCTGTGGTGGCTACAACCCTGAGCCTGGGCTCTCAGGTAGGTAAAGCAACCGACTGGCTTCACGCTTTTCCCTTCCCTTGTGATATGGAGCAGGCAGTGGCAGTCCACAGGACCCAGCCAGCATCAGAGGGGAGTGCCATGCCATGATCCTTTGTGATGCAGGTGCATCACACTGCTCAGAAGCCATTGTGACATGGGCCCCTGCCCTGACTGTGGGAATGTTTAAGGAACAGAGAGCCTTGGAGTTGCCCAGTCCTAAGGAAATACCTCCCTCAGGACTCCCTGAGGGCAACCCTGATAGGTCTGAGGCAGAGGATGCCAAAGGCAAACATGGAAAAGGAGCAGCTGGCAGCACACATGAAACAGGTACATGGCAGGGCTTCATCAGCTTCCCTGGGCAGGGATGCAGATGCATGGAGAGGCCACTGGGAGCAAACGGCACAGCAGGACCCAGCAAAGCCGTCGGTGTGCATTGAATACAGCCTCAGCAGTACGTCAGGGGAGCACAAGAAGAAGGAGACTGTTGTAAAGCAGGTCATTGTGTCCTTCAAGAGGAAGCCTCCAGAGGAACTGTGCAGGAGCTGCCTGAGCCACACCACGCGCAGTGAGGCTCCATCCCGGAGAGCCAGCCTGCTACAGCAGCAGGATGGCCTGGAGGACAGGGAGCTCCAGCAGCCAGAGAACGAGGGACAGTGTTTCTCCCGGAGGCAGTCAGGGGGGCTCTATGGCAGACCTGGGCAAGTGAGTGCCAAGGATGGAATGAGACAGCCTAAGACAGGACGTGACAGGTCCATGAGCTTTCCATGGACCACACGAGAGCAGCCACAAGTTGTATATGTGAAGTTCATGACAGGCACCATGAGCAAGCAGGAGGTGCTGGAGCGTCTGGAAGCCCGTACTTCCACCAGTGAGCCAGTGGCTTTGGCTGAAGAGGAAGAGCAGGAAGATGGTGTTGATAAAAAGCTGTCCCAGGAGCAGAAGTGGGAAGATGCAATCAGCAGACAACTGAACCTGAAACTAAGCACGAGTGAAGCAACAGCAGCAGAAACGCCTGCAGGACATACCTACAGATCTCCTTCCCTCGCAGTCATTGATGCCCTGGCTCACGAGAGGCGGACGGACTTCCAGAGGGCACCACGGGCTCTGCACAGGGCCTCCACTGCCATGGAGAGCAGGAGAAGCAGCAGAGGGGGCCTCTCTCCAGAAGAGCAGGAGAAGCAGCACGCAAGACACTGCACACCGGCTCTGCTGGTCACAGCCCAGTACATCACGGGTGAGGTCGTACACAAGGTTGTACCTGTGATCCAGGAACCCAGTGAGCAGATAGAAGAGCAACAGG